GGTGGACGGGTATCAAAATTTTAATTTTTTCTCAGAATTTAAGTTTTTATTGATATTCAAAATAAAATAAAAAGACAGGTATAAATACAAATATTCAAAATAAAGTTCTTTTTTATCGTTAATGCTCATCATGAGGTGAATTCAAACTACAATAAACATGTATCAACATCCCATGCAATTTATTGCTTCTTGATCTTGCGTATTTGTCCGCATGGAAATCCTGATCCACCTTTTATGTAATAAACAACAATAAATTTAACATGGTAAATGTTAAAGCCATGTGATATGTGTTTTTAACATTCAGAGACATGTTCATTAAGTAAAGGTTGTAAACATGAATTGAAGTTTTTGAACAATGGCATGAAAGTTAAATTGATTCCATTCCAGGGACTGAAAGGAAGTGACGTCATTTTTTTTTATTGGAGCCCTATCTTTTAATTGCAGCCCGGAGGACCAGGCTGCTCTATACATATAAGTTTAAGTTTTGGTGTATGGGATAGAGGTGGGAGAATTTATTCAGAATTAAAAGTTAACTATACATTAAAAGGATTATACATCAGAATGTTCTTTCCCTTTATAAATTACGAGATATACACAATATATTTCCTTCCATGAAGTACATCTTCAAAAATGTATATGTTTTTCATATGTAATATACAAAGTTGCTTATCATTTACTATCGACAAAACAACAGGTCTTTTTTTTTTTAGAACATTAAATTTTACTTATGGCATGAAAACGTACGATACACAGTTCATATTTTATATTCATTAAGTCAAATATATTTTTGATGATAGGTGATACAGGTGTCTGATTCTAATTTATATTTTATGCAGCCAACAGTTACTTGAGGAAAATATAAAGTTTAAAATGGTATCGTTTTTGTTCGATTTTCATCCGATTAGGAGCTTTCCGTAAATCTTCTCGACTATAGTCCTGATCATTCAGACGCATGCCTTTATCACTCAAATCGAAGCGGTTTGGTGATCAAGACTTATTTCCATTGTTATCGGAAGAATTTTCCCGGGCGGCAGTTGATGGCAACATCAATTTTTTTTTTAAATGGTTAACAAGTCACAGCATACTTTAGATAATTTTTTAAAAGAAAAATGAGGGGAAATCTTTTAAAATCTGTCATAGGAACTGCAGATTCATTAGCAAGTATATCCCCATGAACAATGTTGTATAGACTGAGGCTTGATCAGATCATACTGCCTGCAGTCAAAGAAAAATAAACTGGAAAATCTTAATTAAAAAAACTATCTTCTCAAAAACATAAATGGGGCCAGATTAATATTTAAAAATCCCAATATATTACAGACACTGATGACACCTGGGTAGGATGAAGGCTCGATATAGGTTAAAGATTCTATATGATTAAGAGAAAAATCATTAAAATCTTCTCAAGAACAATAAGGCCACGATTAGTTAAATTGATATGCAATCTTTCCATGCTGCAAAGATGCAAGTCTACTGTTTATATATGAAAGAAAAGGAGGTTGATTTTTTCCTCATCGTAATTAATCACAAAATTAAAGTCATATATGGAGTGTTTTTTATAAGTTCAGACTAACTAAAATTAAAAAGATCATTCTACGAGGGCTGTTCGAAAATTATTGAGACAAATACTTTTACTCCACAAAGGACAGAGATAAATTCATAAAAATTCGTCAACTTTTTTTAAAGAACACATAAAACAAATGTACAAAATTTCTAATTTATAGGATAATTAAATAAGTTCCGGTGAAATTATAAACAAGCATATGTCTATTGACCCGGAGCAGCATCGCTACGTCATTTTAAAGTCAGGTCAGCCGATATATTCTCATTGTGAAATGATCAGGAAGCCTTCAACACACTTTCTCTGTCACTACATATAACATTTCAAAAATCAAACTGTCTCTTATAATTCTTAATCGATTCTTTAAAAAAAATTAAAAAAAATAAAACGTGTGCTGTTGCTATCCCAGTGTAAAATATACACAAAGTGTCAAATACAGGCTGACTTAGCATCATGCAGTACCGAGTTATGCAACGCGGGTCAACGTTATTTAGTCCGTAATAATTGATGGTCGTCCGAAGCGTTTGTTTTTACTCTGGTTGAATTATTTGTAAGAAAATAATATATACCAATGAAAAAATAAACCATTAGACATGTTTTATTGCATTGTTATTGTTTTAGCAGGTCGTTTAGTCTGGACAAGAGTTTTCAATACCGCTACACAAAATTTTAGGTATGATTGCTGCTCCGCCTTGGCGTCAAAATCCGTTTTGTCGTCGTTATCAGATTGCTATACCGCGCGTAAATTTTTTAATGATCTCCGTATTTCTGATCGAAATTCTAACAAACTTGCACAAAATGAAGTCAAAGTTGAATTGAAAAATTATATACATAATTTGAATTATTTTCGTTCTTACTATGGGTCCACTGGGAGTTTTAACGTTGGTGTTACATATTTTCAATATCCGATTTCGTGACTGCGCCTGGTACCCCTACCATTGACACATTAATATATCATTGAAAAGATGAAATAAAATATTTTAAAAATATTTCTTGTTTTTATTCTTGTTCTTTGTTCTTGTTATTACTTATTAGAGTTTGTCAAACGTATATGCAAATTTTCACCGAAAAACGTTCATTAGAAAGAAGAATATACCCAATGTCTCAATAATTTCCGAACAGCCCTCGTATTTGTTTTATTACTTCATATAAAGATAGGACTTTCCTGTAAATTACACAATTTAAATCAATCACGTTTCAAAGATATTAGAAATTTAAAACAATAACCGATTTATTTACCGAATCCGCATTTAATTAACAGACAGTTTAAAATCAATGTACAGTGTAACTATGGAAACATGAGGTTATTCAAGTACAAAATCGGTGAAAATTTTAATTTGAACGTAAATAACATAAATCATGTCTATCTACACTTAATCTCGTATTTTTATTTTTTAGCTCAGATACGCCATATATAGCTTTAATGAAAATCTGATGAGGAACACACTCTTCAATTTATCAAGTTAGTCTGCATGTACCCCTACGTAGACTCCTAGATTGGGAAGAGACACAGTTACAGTTTTATTATGGAATTTTGTTGATTTTTTAATACAGCTTAAGTAATATGCACAAACGTCAATGCTATGTAGATTAACTGTTTTAACCATGTCTCTTAAATTTAGGATCGGTGGTTTTAAGGGTGTAACATTTTAAATTGGAATACATAGGAAACAAGATGTGTTTGTGAAACACTGATGCCCCCGTATGGCAGCTTATAGCGAAGGTTGAAGCTTCTCAAATGCAAGTCAAACTCCAGGTCAAAAGATAAAAAATGCTGGTACTCAAAGAAAGGTCTTGTCTCATGGAATATACCTGTGAAATATGGAAGCCCTGGCACCAACCGTTGAAAAGTTATGGCGAAGGTTTAAGTTTTTTTTTTCAAATGGCAAGGTCAAGGTCAAATGATGCCAAAGGGAAGGTCTTGTCACAAGTGATACACGTGATCCTGAAATGTGAAAGCCCTAGAACCAAACGTTCAAATGTTTTGGCCAAAGTTATTTTTTAAAGGTAGGCCAAACTCCAAGGTCAAGGTCAATGCCAAAATTGTTGGTTTCCAAAGGAAGGTCTTCACACAAGGAATATACATGTGAAGTATGAAAACCCTAACACCAACTGTTCAAAAGTTATGGCCAAGGTTAAAGTTTTTCAAGAGCAAGTCAAACTCCAAGGTCAAGGTCAATTGGTCAAAGTTGTTGGTATCTAAAGTAAGGTCCTGTCACAAGAAATGCAAATGTGAAGTGTGAAAGCCCTAACACCAACTGTTCAAAAGTTTTTGCCAAGGTTAAAGTTTTTCAAAAGTAGGTCAAACTCCAAGGTCAAGGTCAAAGGGTCAAAATTGTTGGTATATAAAGGAAGATCTTGTCAAAAGGAGAGCATATGTGAAGTATGAAAGCCCTAGCACTAATTGCTTAAAAGTTATGGCCAAGGTTAAAGTTTTATCAACAGTAGGCCGAACTCCAAGGTCAAGATCAATGACACAAAAATGTTGGTGTCCAAAGAAAGGTCTTGTCACATGAAATACACATGTGAAGTATGAAAATCCTAGCACTAATTGTTCAAAAGTTATGGCCAAGGTTAAAGTTTTTCAAAATTAAAGTAGGTCAAAATTCAAGGTCAAGGTCAAAAGGTCAAAGTTATTGGTATCCTAAGAAGATCTTGTCACAAGGAATATACATGTGAAATATAAAAGCCCTAGCACAAACTATTTTAAAGTTACGGCCAAGGTTAAAGTTTTTTCAACAGTAGGTCAAACTCCAAGGTCAAAGGGTCAAAATTGTTGGTGTCCAAAGGAAGGTCTTGTCACAAGGAATACACAAGTAAAGTTTGAAAGTCCAAATACCAACTGTTCAAAAGTTACGGCCAATTTTAAAGACTCATACAATTTTGCAAAAGTGGGTCAAACTCCAAGGTCAAAATGTCAAATATGATGGTACCCAAAGATAGGTCATGTCACAAGGAATACACATATGAAATATGAAAGTCATAGCTTCTACCAATCAAAAGTTATGGGCAAGGTTAAAGTTTTTGCGGACAAACAGATAGACAGACAGACAGACAGACAGACGGACGGACAGGGCAAAAACTATATGCCCCCGAATCTTCGATTACGGGGGCATAAAAATTAAACAAAATCTTTCTCCGAGGAGCACACAAAATTTCTATTATAACTTTCCACCATATTCTTGCTCGTTTACATTAAAGTCTGAGCTTGTCATAGACAATTAAAGTACAAGATTTTACACCACAGTATATGGCTATCTACAAAAACGACAATGGAACAGTTTGAAAAAAATCAAACATACGGCAGATTTCTATTGTGAAAGAGTATGCTATAAATTCAGAGAAACTTTAAAGGGTTTCATTTAATAATTATATTTGTTGTCATGAAAAAAGAAATTTGACTCTGAAATTGCAATAGCATATTGTGCTTTATACCTACCTGTAATATAGATGTAACGTTACAAACAGAATCGTTCTTAGATTCCACTCGTGATGGTTTAGCATGCCCCGCCAACTCATGGTATTGAGACATTTTCTCCAGGTCTTGGTGGGTGCGCATACATATTGAATGGTGAAACAATGCCAGTAAAAAGAAATTTTGGAACATCATCTTGACAGGACTATATTTACAACATCTGTATCAAAACAACAACAAAAGGGAAACAGTAATTCTTTTAAAAATGAACCTGAGCATCAAGATATAAAACAGCCGTGGATCTGCTCTTCTTAACTGTCACTTTGTGTAATCAATATTAATAAAAGCTTTAGTGTTTGTAGTTGGCCGTAAAAATAAGTAAACAGTCTCCATTCTGTATTACAAGTACCAAGATCTTTATTCAATGCCTTTTGTAGATTATCAAAGCTTATCCAATTAATATCGTCAGTATGGAAAAAAATCTGTAAATTAAGTATTGTTTAGTACAATAAGTATAATATATATAGGAAAACATCAGTAAATTAAGTATAGTAAAAAATCAGTAAATTAAACATAGTGCAGAAAATTAAGTATACTGTACGAAAATATTAGTGAATTAAGTACATGTATAATATAAAAAAAACATAAGTAATTTAAGTATATTGTCCTTTGCTGAGATAGTCTTTGTTATAAGGATTTTTTGACAATTTCTTCGTCTGTCCTGTGAAATATAACTGAAAGACTTTGATATTCAGGGCAGAAAAGCTGCTACATTTATACAATATTATCTCCCCTGTGTAAGATAGTATAAATAATATCAAAATCTTTAGTGCATAGGGTTTAAGGAGATGACAGGCTAGAGCTAGTATACATGTACTTGTATATTCATTTTCTTTGAGAAAAGTCTGACTGAAATCTATGGCGCCTCTCTATGTTGAAGTGTTAGGAGAGAAAACGGTACAAAGTCATTGGTTCGGGAGGGGTAGATGGCTCCTACTATAAGGAGAATTTACACTTCTTGAAATCAGTGTCAGTCTAAAATTTAATATTCACCTGTGATTATTATATCCTGAACTTTTATTATCTTGTCTTAGCCAGATTTTGTTCTCGCAAAGATGTATGTAAAACACTTTTCACTCAATCTTCAATGTCATGTCAATTATTATTCTGCCTCGATTACCCTCCCTAATTTAAGAAACGACGCTACATGTCTGCTTTCAGATGGAAATAATACAATATGAAATTGTTTATTAAGCATTTTTTGAGAATTGATCTTGCGTTTGATTTCCGAACATTATCTGTGAATTTCACGGTCAGATTAAGAATGAAAAAAATTTCAGAAAATGAAATATTACCTCAATACTTCACAGGAATAGCAATGAGTGAGTCTCGCATTGATCGATCTGTACGTATACAATACTGTTTAATACTCATAACACTTACAATAATATCACTTGTCAAATGCAGTAACAAAGGATTTACTGAAGAGGAAGCCGGACTTCCGAAGAATTAATTTTAATTGTTGTAAAGTGTAGTACACTGTTTCCTCATTTCTCTCTTAATGACACACGACATGTGTCGCGGAATTTACATTCCGGGTATTTTGCATTCCGATCTTTTGTTCAATTTTTAATATATCTTCGATAAGTGTATATCTAACACCAGGTCCGAGTCATACAAGCGCTCTGATAAATATTTTTTCCATCTATGATTGGCAGATACAACGTACAATTAATAAAGGTTTTGAACATCAATGTTTATATATTAGAAATAGGTTAAAAAATAATATAAAATGCTGCTTGTATTTTATATACACCAATTTAAAAGATCTAACATTTAGGGAGCCCAGATCTTCACGAGCAATTAGTATTATGAATTCTGTCAAAAGCTATGCAACAATATCGTCATATTTTAAGAAGACGACCTTGACACTTTGTCAGATAGGATAAAAAGTTTAAGGTGGATTTTGAAAGCTCAGATTGACCTGATTTGTTGCAATCTGTTAACTATCTATTCTTATGCCTTAAGCTATTCAGAAATGACTTAAGATTTAGATAGATTACTGACTATAGACGATAAGGATCAACTAACAACTAAAATGTATGACAATCGAGTTAATTTCAGTTTGTCTATCGTCAACTTTCTTTCTTTTATGTAGTAATATTCCACAATCACCTGCATATGGTGATTATGCCTCCCAACTTATTCGATACTCAAGAGCATGCTCTTTGTAGGATCAATCTTTAAACAGATGCAGGATACTGACAAATAAGTTGATGCTACGGGATTTCAACAACTTCGTTTAATGTCAGCACTTAATTCGTAAATTATATGCTTGTTATTATGAATTTGTTTGCAAATTCAACCTATCATTGGGTCGTATTTTGACCGACATATTTCACACCATTCTTAAGGCCATTGTTTTTAAAACTAAATTTGAGTACTGATTATTCCGTCTACCCGATCAATACATAGGGTTAAGGGCGTTTATGAATGGTCAACAGGGGATGCTTACCTCTCCTAGGCACCTTATCCCAATTCTGAAATTTTTAGGGGTTTGTGTTTTTCTGTTATGTTCACAGATGTTTATTGTTTGTAGGTTTTACGAGATCGATCAGTGTTCCTTATCTACTCAATTGTCAATACATAATCAATATGTACTAGTTCCAGCTGACAAAACATGTAACAACATGGTACTGGTTAAGTGGTAATCCAGCTTCTACTCACAGTTCCCTTTCTCAGAAAATTTCTTCAATATCATATATCAGTTTAAATATTTTTAATTTTCCCAACAACAAATTAAATTTAAATAACTATAACTGTTTTTTTTTGGCATTCAAAATGGAACTTGTAAATTTACATACTAGCACCTTGTCATTTGTCATCTGCAAAATTATTTTGTTAAAAAAACACACTGATTCTACATACACGTACTCTGAATTTGACATTAAAAGATGATGGAGTTTTTTTTATTGAGAATATTTATGCAGTTTTTGGAATCCAAGTCTTTCAACAATCTGTGGAATTCCCATTGGTACTTATTATGCCCCGTTATTTGCAGACCTGTTTTTGCATTCATATGAAGCAGAATTTATTCAAAAACCGACATTTAGATATATCGACGACGTTTTGTCAATTCACAATATTCATTTTTATTCCTAATTTGGATCAATATTTCCCGTTGAACTCGAAATGAAAGACAACACATTGTCTGACATATCTGTTTCGTATTTAGATATTTTTACTAGAGAAGGGCATTAACGACAAACTAACAACTAAACTGTATGGTAAACGTGATGAACTTTTCTTTCATCAACTTCCCTTATTTATAAGCAATATACCATTATCACCTGTAAAATGGAGTTAATGTTTTCCAGTTGATTCGATACACAGGAGCATGTTCTACATACGAAAAATTTCTAAAATGTGACAAGCTGTTGACAAATAAGTTGATGATACAAGGGTATCAAAAGTCTAGTTTAAAGTCAGCATTTTGCAAATTCTATGGTCGATACAATGACCTTGTTAGCAAATACAATTTATCATAATGTCGAATATTGACTGGCATTTTTATACAAATCGTTAGGCCCTTATTTTCACACTGAATTGTCCACGGAATTTTCCGATTACCCGATCATTACAATGAGCACACGGCGGGTGTGACCGGTCGGCAGGGAATGTTTCATGTAACTCCTCTATGGCACCTGATCCCACCTCTGATGTTTTTAGAGGTCCGCGTTTGCTCTGCTCCCAATTTGTATTGTTCTTATGGAAATTTCAATTTTAGACTCATTATTACACTTTCAGTTTAGAGGACTTGGAATAAATTCTAAAAGTGCTAGTGAAACTTTGACTCAAAATTCCTTTTTCAAAGGCAGAGATTTTTCAAAATTTTGTTAGTTTTAAATATTTTCAATACATATATTCCCAACAAACAAATTGAATTTTTATTACCCATCTTAAAGGTGCTTGGACACAGATTTGAAGTTAATATTTTCTCAAATTTTCTGTATAATTTCATGACTTATGTGTTGCTATAGCATTTCATACTAAAATATAATAAAAATCTTATTTCATCTCGAAGTTATTAAAACTTCGAATTTCTGGACGCGTTGGATTGACACATCCTTGCGCTTTCACATATTTTATTCTTAATACTTAAGAAAAGTGGCAATTTTGTTGTGTATTAATGAAAAATATTAAAACTATAACCCAGAAAATTCGGAGTAGAAATGTTCGAAAGCAAATCCCACTCACAGTATTATAAGTCCGTGCTCAGTGGCGTGTGCTGAGTTTAACAATTGAACACACCCGGTGAATCGTAAACATTAACAATAACAGAGCTCGTGCCCTGTTTACAAAACAGTTTACATTTCACGGGTGTGTTCAATTTGTTAAACTCTGTACACATCACAGAACACGGACTAACAATACTGGTGAGTTGGTTTTGATTTCGAACATTTCTACTCTGAATTTTCTGGATTATAGATGTAATATTTTTCATTAATACATAACAAAATCGCTTCTTTTCTTAAATATTAAGGATAAAGTTAAAATTTGTGTAAGTGCAAAGATGTGTTAATCAAACGCGTCCCGGAATTCGTAGTTCCAATAATTTCCAGATAAAAAAAGTTTTCAATTATATTTTCGTGTGAAATGCTATTGCAATATATTAGTCGTGATATTATACAGAAAATTTGAGAAAATATTAAGTTCAAATCTGTGTCTAAGCACCTTTAACTGGATCCAAAGCCTTAAAAATCCTTACAAACAAAGATACATGGCGGGATTTAAAATGGTTTACCAAGCTTCCTTTTTTACTCTTCACAAAAATATGAACAGCAGTGAAGGAGAAACTTCAGCATTACTGTGCAACTGTTTGCTAGTATTCGTTGCATGTATTATTGAAATGTGGATATTAAAAACTCCAATTTTTTTTTTTTTTTTTGGAAAATCTGAAATAATGAAATATTTGCTTAAATCAATAGCATCAAACATATGACGTTTCACCATTTTTTACAACCATTCTCCACGATCAAATATAGATGGGGCTTTTTGATAGACTGCTTTTTCAATAAACATTTTCATATCTCGTAATTGGTCATCTACTAACTAAC